TATTTTGCACTGCTTCCGCTTGAGGAAGATACTGCTGCTCTCCATGTTTTCATCCTTTACCGTTGTTGTGCCACTCACCCGGCAGCTCCCGCACAGTCTCCTCTCCAAACACTGATGGCACTCTAGTCTCCAATACGTGTTCGATTACCGGTGACTTATTAACCCCCCCCTCCCTCCTCCTCCCCAATATGTGGATTTCTTCAGTACACAATGTCCAAAATGCAATCCTGTCTTGAAACGCACAGCTGCATTGTCCAGTGGCCCTCAACTTTTTAGATAAAAGAAAATACACTGATGACGTGTATGTATATATATATACTGTATCATTTAAAGATTCCGTGTAATGTTTGGAGAAAAATATTGAATAAAAAAAAAATCCAGTCCAGTGATTTTAGAAACAAGCTGGTATCTTTATTGATGTGTGTGTCTTTCTGTGGTCGGGGACTTTAAAGCTGTAGGATGAATAAAGAAATAAATAAAGAAAATTATAACTAATTATATATAATTACGATAGAAAGAAAGAAGGGCTACTTCCTTTATTTATTTATTTATTTATTTATTTATTTATTTATAAAAGGAGGCAGTCGCATAGGTTTAACGTCACCAGCCTCAACAGCTGATCTTTTCGTCGACTAAAAAGCGCCGCGACTTGACAACACAGCACGAGTTTCACCTTGTTGTGAGCCCACTTGGACACGAAGCTCAAAGAGCCCAAACAACAACAACAACAACAACAACCACCACCGACCTGAGATGCCAAAATACTGCTCGGTGCCGAACTGTAAGAATGACTCCGGAAGCGGCAGCGACAGGAAAAGCTTCTACAAGTAAGATTGTTTTTAAATGTTTGTAATGGCTGCTCGGTTACTGCTGGATCTATTTCTTATTATTACCGTGGAGACACAGAGTCCTCTTCCATGATCAGTTAACACCGGAGAGTTATACCGACTGAGATTTTAAAAAAAATAAAAAATAAATAAAATGTTTTTCGTCTTTCTTGTTTCGACCTTTGAGATCTTTTTATTGATTGAATCGTGATTTGATTTTGACAGTTTTCCTGCTAATAAAATTCACTTTAAGATTAATTTTGTGTGTTAAATTAATTTAATTTAATAGTAAGAAGCAGTGCAGTAGGACACAATATGACCGCACTCGTAATGATTTTATTTTGAAAGTTTTACATTCAAACTAAAAACAATAATTTTTTTTTTTTTTTTACAATAAATATACAAAGTGCCTTATATGGCCAAAACCAGGATTAAAAAATAAGGCAAAATAAAGTCAGAGAAATAAAATCACACCAGAGTGAGGTAGAATTAAAAGAATAAAAGACCCTGTCAGTAAAATAAGTACCAACAATAAAGCAGATAAAACATGTATTTGTTTTATTCTACCTTTATTTAACCAGATAAGAACTAATTCTCATTTACAGTGATGATGTGTGCGAAGAGGCAGCAGCAGTTCAACAATGTAGGTTGGGAGCTAAACTTTAAAGTGCTTTAAATACGTGACCAGTAAATAAAACATTACTCACAGAGACCAGAAGAACCTGTTTACAATATAAAGCAGTGACTGAAAAGAGATGAGTCCACAGAGTCAGTCAGTTACCTGATACGCTCTGATTTTCAGCCTCGGCAGGCAGTTTTCTTTTTTATGTTTTCAGGCTTTGACTTTACTGTCAAATCACTGAAACAAGCACGTTGTAAATTGTGTTGTGGCCACTGTAATTTCTCCTACACACACACACACACACACACACAATCTGCTCTCAATCCCAGGTCATCCAATACACACATGAGCTGTGTCCAGTTAGATACGATGTGCAACTTTGCCTCTAGATGCCACTTAATCCTACACACTGGTCCTTTTAAACATTTGCCAATATTTCACTCGATGGAGCCCAGGTGTAACCAGTGTCGAACATATTGTATTCTAGGTTCCCGCTACAGGACCCGGTCCGGCTGCAGCAGTGGCTGAGGAACATGGGACGTGAGAGCTGGACTCCCTCTCGACACCAGTATATTTGCCACGAACATTTTGCCCCTTCGTGTTTCAAGGTGCGATGGGGCATCCGTTACCTGGAGAGCGATGCTGTGCCCACACTCTTCCAGGAGGCGGAGGTAAGAATCTTGCACAGTCTTACTCTGGAATATTTGGGCTGCACAATATTGCCAATTTCTATTTATGCTGAATACAGAAATCTTGAAGATGCTGCTGTACATGAACACAGATTTCCTTTTCAGGAAGTTGGATTTTGTTCTTTAACATTTGTACCATGTTAGTTTCATTTATTCCTCTCAGCAACACAAAAAATGTATTCAGGATAAAACAAATTATTGAAAATTCTTGTATTAAATATGTACTTTTCACTTGGCGCTTACACAAACAGACTTTCCATCCTTTGGCCAATTCAGATGAGACTTCTGAAGTCAGTAGGAATAATTAATAATTGTAAACACTGTCATGTTTCTTCTGATAAACACACTCTTGCTTCTTTTCCAGAAACGGAAAGCCACGGATCACAGTGAGAAGAAGCCAAAACGGCTTCGATCTGATAGTAATGAAAGTGTCGCAGTGTCGGATGACAAGCAGGCGGCTGTTGATGCTGTAGAAACGGAAAGTACGTTCCACACGGTGCACCTGTACGAGATCACTGTCGACCCATCGCAGCCCGGAGAAACCAGCCTGGTGGAGGCGACTGATGTTGGAGGATCTGACTGTTCTCTCCAGACAGACCTGAACCCGTCAGTGGACAGATTCGAAACAGGAGGAAATTTCCCTTTAACGTTATTCCAGACAGTAAATGATCTAAGTAACAGTGGCGAGAACACGGAGGTGGTAGTGATGTCCGAATGCCCTGCTGGTGAAGGGCAAGATGAGCTTGTGAATGGAATCACTGCAGCCATTTTAACTCAGGGCCACGGGCTGGTGATGAGGGACTCCACACTTGGCTGTATGGATGAGACTGTGGCCTCTCTCCGTGTTGAAGATGTGACTTGTACCACAGAAGGGTTCTCAGAAGACCACGAAGGCCATGAAACTCAAGTCATCGCCTACTTTGAGGCGATACCCAACGTTTTCCCCAGTGAAACCTCCACCCACTTCACCTTCTCCCCGGATACAGTGCTGTCGTCCGCTCTGAGCTCCAAACCCATCACATCCACTCTGCCCATCGTGTCCAAACACGTGCCACCTTCACCCACCTCCCTGGTACTTACTATGGAGAGACTGGACACAGACGAGGGAGAGGGAGACGACGGCCTATCGGAGGAGGACGGGACAGAACGGCAGGATCACCAGCTGGAGGAGCACTGGTGAGTACTGACTCTCTAACTAACATTGTCCGTATTTTCACTCAGGGAAAGATTTGAGAAAGAAGAATTGAGAAAGGCCAAAGGTGCTGATCACAAGGTTTAGAGTTAAAAATGGGACGACTTAAGTTTGCAGTCTTAAGATATAGCTTATATGCAACAAACAGCGACATTAGACCATTTAAATTACTACTAAAGAGCACTTCAGTAGTCCTGCTTTCCTATACTCTCTTTTTGTATTACAGCTTTTATAATCTCTTTCCATTCTTTACCGTAACAGCTACCATAAGAACAGCTTGAGTAAGGAGCAGCTGGAGGCGATTGTGGCTGAGCTGCAGAAGAAGGTGAAAGTGCTGCAGCAGCGACATCGCCGACACCTGGAGAAACTCCTGGGACTGGAGAACACAGTCAGCCAGCTGAGGCAAAGCAACATGCTGAATGAAGAGCGACTACAGCTGCTTGAGAGGGTGAAGTTATTTACATGAAATAAATCCAGATTTATTTAAAAGTAAAACTCCTAATTGCTATACTCAAGTTTCTTGTTCCTGTAGGTGTATTTTAATATTTAATGGTGAGATATTGAACTCTCCATTAATCTTACTACGCACCAATCAGCTCAGAGATGACAAGGGGAAGTTGTTAAACATTTGTATAATCAACTATGTGTTTTACATTTGTTCTTTTATATATTTTGCTTGTGAAAATGTCAAATGTTTACCTTTTGTTGTCTCCTCTCTCTCAGGCTTACATACAGACCAGTGCAGGAGTATCAGACGCTGGTGAGACTGTGACTATCATCTATGAAGAGAACGATGCTGCATACTTGTATACGCCACTGAACAATGCGGACGAAAAGCTGTGAGGCCCGACTGACTGCGAACCTGTTTGTCTGTCTGCTGCCCACTGTGCCATAAAGAGACGGGGCTAATACTGTTGAAAACAAAATGCTACCTAACTTTTTTTTTTTTCTCCTTTCACTTTTCTTTTAACAAAATGAGATCTGTCTATAATATGTGGCCATGTGTCTGTTGTTAGATCTACTGTGAGCTTTGCACAAATATGGATGAATAAATTGGGACAATGTTGAATGTGTTTTTTATGGGTTTCCCCCCTGTACCCCTCCCTCCCTTCAACCACTTTTTGTTTGACTTATAAAGTATTTTTGTAAGTGATAATGTACATGTCAAATTAAAAAAATAACTTCCAAATAACTTTTTGGGTTTGGGCTTCATCTCTATAGTCATTTAAGTTATTAAAAGAAACCAAAACCAATTAATTACAGTCACAGAGAGTTTGATTTAACCATTGCTGACAGTTTGACATTTTCTTTTTCAGTAGCCACAACAAAGGAAATGAGTCAGTGTTCACACCCTGTTTAGTGGCAGTGAATACATCACCGCTTGCAGGTTGGGTTCATTAAAGTTCAAAGTATTTCCAAGTAACACTCTGTATGTTGCTTCACAGTGACTGGATTTTCTGTTTGCTCAAGGGTTGTGTCAAACAATTCAGTGTTCAGTGCATTCATGTTGGTACAATAGGCTTTCTCCACCTATAGGTAATGAAAATGTGAAAGAACACAGTTCAAGTTGTACAGTTCTTGTGAATATTTTTCTCTGCAGTGAAAGTTTTATTCAGGAAATCTAATTAATCTAAAATGGAAAAGAAAAAGGCCCATAGTTGTACAGGAAGGAAGGTGATACTAATCAAATCTCAGGTTTATTAAGTTATTTGGACAACTTAAGTCAATGTTCAAGATTTTATTTTACTTCACTCAGTTAACCTGCTTCTTGGCTCGACAGTGGGTGCTATTCTGAGGATGGTGTGCTCTCCCTCTCCACTAGATGGCAGGAGAGGCGGCTTTTTCATCTGGATACTCTGAAAATGAGGGGATTTTATACAGATCAAAAAGCACAGATATACATTTAAGAAAAGACCTCCTTTCTTGAAAGTTGTACTGGCTGTTTTAAGGTATCTCCCTGAACATCAATAGGAAAAGAGGCTATCAGGTCAATCATCTTTAGCGTGTGTGAACAGACTGTCAGGAGGCAACAGTTTAAGTAAAGAGGAGCTTCTTCTGTCTTATAGATTAACATTACCATTTGCCTCTCGTAACTAAAATAGGGATTTAATACTGTTGGAATCCATTAAGATTCATTAGGTTTTGAATGGTTTGTGTAACTCATCTCTGGAATAAGACTGTTGGACAGTGATTGTTGTTGTCTTATCAGGACTAGGTTTTTACAGAATACACAAATTCACAAAAGTCATTAGTCATTGAAAAGATGAAGATGAAATTCAGCCAAAAACAGCTACAACAGAAAACAAATATCTAAAAGTGTACAGTGGGGAGTGGAATAAGATGAATGTTTCCCGTGGGCAGATAAGACTGTGGATATGCAGGTACCTAAGATGAGAGAATGGAGATTTGGTGGTAGTATTCATTTTCTCTCTGATTTTATCTACTTTTTTTTTTTTAAATCAAATATGAATGGCACATTTCCATCGTTTGACACAAAACAATTTAAGAGGTAGAAAAAGAAATAAACCCATTTTGAATATCCATGCAAATAAAATGAGAGGAAGAGTGTTGGCTTCTGATTTACACTGAAGGACATGAGCCTTTGAGTTCAAATGATCCTTAAACGGAAAGTCTTTTTTCATTCTTTCCCTTTGACAGAGGGGTCAGAGATCAGGGTCAGCTACACCTGGAAATGCTTGATAGTCACTTGATGAGATACTCAGTACCCTGAACCTCCAGCTGATGGACTGTCTCCACACACCTTCTTCTTGTATGATCTCATCAACTTCTGGCACTGAAGAAAATGTGAATCCATTCATCTATTTCTTAAACCACTTCAACAATACAAGACTGTCTTTAAATCTAAATAAAATGTTTTCTGAATAATCATAACACAATCATAACAATGGATGATACATTGTAAATCCCTGGACAGTTAGTCTAATCGCCTTGAATGCACTAATCACTGATATTTCCTTCTTTAGCTGAAAGACACTTTGAATGTTTAGCAGTAGCTTTCACAAAACTTCTCCTCATTTCCTCCTCCTCCTCCGCAATCCTGTCTATGAGCAGAGATAAAGCAGCAGGTCCTCAGCTGTCTGGCTCCCAGCTGGTCCTGGTGGTGGGTGCAGGGCTGAGGAAGGGGGAGCTGATTGTGAAGAGGAGCAGAGGGGTGGGGCAGGGAGGAGAGACGGCTGTCCTCTTGGCAATGGGTGAGCGGCAGACAGGGACATTGTGGATGGTGGCACTGGCTAGATGGTGGTATGCTTGTACCAACCTGCACAATGATTTATACATGACTATTTAGTTGTTGTTTTTTCAATAAATTAAGTGTAAAAAACCAAAAATTTTCATTGTCTTGACTCCCCTATATTCACTTATTTATCAATGTTACATCTATTAAAACACATATTCACTTTAATAGCATATATAATAATATAAAAATGTTGAATCACTAAAGCAACACCTACCTAAAAGCTACAGAAAACAATTGTGTGGGACATAAATCACTTGCACCCATTGTGTAAAGCTACAGGAAAAAGGCTTGCACATACATTTGAGTAAAGATGATCAGAGGTTAAGTGTATTTGAAACACACATTGGTAATATAAGCATAGTTTTTATGTTTAAAGTCTGTTTAACCTGGATACACAAGGCCTGTAACAAACAGTTTGTATACATTTACAACATGTACAGATTATGACTGCTGCAGCATCGGTGCTCACCTGTGGCGTGTTGCTGCCAGTGTTTCTCAGGTCATCCAGGTCAGTCATCCCCAGCTTCCACCTCTGCCACTTCTTCTTTATCTCTGCCTGCACCTGCAAGAAAAGGATGAGTTACAGTGAGAGAAGGCAGAGAGAAGAGAGTAGCGTTATAATAATTAGTAAATGTATCAACAGGGGATCCATGAGAACTTCAACACATGTAGGAAGAGGCTAGACATTATTACAGCACTGTTATTATTTTCTAAATGTGAATAACCAGTAACATAAAACATCTCAGTTAGTGGTGAAATGAGTCCATAAGTTCATCAGAAAACGTACATATATCAAGGCAAAAGGTCTCTTTAAAATGCAAACATGTTAAAGCATCAAGACGCCTTTAAACTAAGAGAAATGTGCGCTGAGTTGCTAAAAAAATACAAAACATTTTCTATAGTTGTGTCACTTCTGTAGAACACATTTATAAGTTCTATCAAATCTTAAAAGTCATTCTTCAACTTTAATCTCATTTATTTGTTTCTCCATAAGATCTCAATGATTAATGATTATATGGAGGTCTCAGCTTGGATTTACTACATCAGTGCTACGTCTGAGGGCTACACTTAACTGGCAAATGTCAGATTTGTTGGTCTTAAATCCTTATACATAATACACAGATTTTAATGCCATTTTTCTAATGGCTACATTTGGTAGCTTTCAAGTGTTATTATTGCTCACATACTGTAGCATTGGGAGAATCATTATCCATGTCCTGCATGGACACACTCCTACAATTTATCTGTTGGACTCTAAGACCATGAGAGGCACCAAATGTCCCTCATTTACCTTTGTTATTTCACAGGTATTTTATGTCAAGCCTCTGTGCTCCTGCTGCACAGTGCCTGCATGTTTACACTCACTTAGTGCACGCACACACACACACACACCCTCACACAGACATAACACTTACCTCGTTGTTGACAAAACAGTAGAGGATGGCTACAAGTAAACCCTGTGAAGAGGGGAAATGACTCAAACAAAGCCTACAAATACCATGAAATGTGGTTTGTGATGTTGCTTTTATCCAGAAAAAGAATTCTGGGTGCAGATATCTTTAGCCCAGGTGGGTATACAATGTCCTGACTGTACCTGAAACGAGTTGAGGAAGAGCTGTAAAAAGAGATTGATGTTACGGAGAACGCCATCCGTGTGCTCCTCTGTCAACACTGCAAAGACCACTTCATGGATCCCCAGTAGAGGGATTAGGGTCAAGGTGGATTTAGCCAGTCTGGAGAGAAAGACACAAAACAGAATACTACTATAGATGTAAAAAATACATAAATACAGTGATGGAGGGTTGCCTTTAGATCTGGTATCTATTCTGTGTTTTGGTCAAAGACACTTCAGCAGCGTAGAAGCTCTGCTTTGTTAAGGACAATCTCCCTACACAAACCCAGCTGCTCACAAGCTCTGACCAGGGATGAACTAGAAAAGTAAATGCTTTACTTTCCTCCAACAGAGCATTGTGGGAGATAGTAACTCTGCCTGATGGAAATTATTCTAGTAACTCCGTGTGTGTCTTCTGATGGTTGCTGGCTTTATATGTTTAGTGTATATTTTACGTATTCATGTTTAAATGTACTGCATGTGTTGTGTTGTCTTTATAATAGCTGTAGGTGAGCTTCCCCTTGAAGGGACAGTGAAGTAGAGTGAAGTAATATAGCCCAGATTTCCCCTGCCCGCAAAATGCCATATGAACTGAAATAATTTAACCATTAGCATTAAATACTTTCTTGCCCACTGAAAATACCATTTTCCTTGAGTGGGGTGATGTGTTTGTAGGGGAGTTTACAACACTCATGTCTAGGGGTCTTACCTGAATTTGTAGTCGGTGTATCTCATCTGATGGGCTTTCAGTTTGGATATAAGAATATGGATAATGCGGATAAAGATGAAGAAGTTTATCTGAAGAGATAAAATAAGGAAAATGATCATGAGCATTGTTAAGTGAAAGTCTACAGCTCATAATGGTGATCTATAAACAGTCCAGGCTGGAAACTACTACGAGTGAATTTTAATCACTGACTAACAAAGTCTAATGTAACCACATTTCCTTTCATATGTGTGTGTGTTGTTTGTGTGTATGTGCGTTCACGGTTGAATAATTTGAATGACACAAGAAGAGCTGCAGGTCGTGTACATGTACTGTATATGTGTGGTATCTGCACCATGACAGCTAGCAACCCCCAACACTTCCTGAAGACTGCGAGCAGGCATGATGTGAGAAAGGAAGTCAACACAATGTAAATAGGATGATAAACATCACATAGGGACACGATGTACAGATCACATGAACAGCAGCCAACCTGGAGCTCACGTGTTTCTGTTCTGTGTTGTCTCCATTGATATCGATCGGAGAGTTTAATAGGCTCTGAAACATCCTGGAACTGCCATTTACACTGAGTGTTTCTATTTCTATGTGAATGCCTGTGTGTACGTTACCAGAATGGCGAGCAGGATGGGAGTACGGATTATGAACCAATACACCCTGTTCTCATTTATCTCCCAACACCTACAAGCACAAACACATCGAAAAGTAAGCAATGATACACAATAAGGTATCCTGAAAAACAAATATACCGGATGAAATGAAGAAGGAAAAGACACAGATGACGTGGTTTTCTTACGTTTTTAAAAGAGTAAAATCGAATTCACATCTGTGGAACAAGTGCGATGGACACTGTTGGCACAAAATGTATTGAAGAAGTAAAAATAAGTGACTTACCTTGTGTTTTCAAACAGGTAACGTACAATAATCCAAGGAACCACAAATAACACTGGGGTGCCTGACACAAAACAGACATACATATGTAAGTACAGAGAAAGTTCACAATACAGCATCATACCAATTTAATCAATTTATATATATATATTTATAATTATACATGCTGATTCATGATTCTTTTTTTCGTTTCTTTTCTATTTCAGCTGTGTTGTGTGTGACTATTTCTGTATAATTGTGTGTGTGTGTGTGTGTGTGTGTGTGTGTGTTGTGTGTGTGTGTGTGTGTGTACCCCAGCCTATGAGGAGGTATCCACAGAAGTAGCAGCTGTCAGAGAATACCACCAGCAGGTTGTGTAGGTACAGGCCTTCCACCAACAGCCAGTAGTAGTTGGCTCCCACACAGTACTGCATCAGCACCTGAGCCACGTGGCAGCCAGACAATGTCTATTGTTTGTGTGTGTGTGTAGAGGAAGACATAATAAGGTTGTGAGAGGTTATAAGTAACACACTTTTTGTTTGTTAATGCTCTGCTTGAGATCAACCATTTGTAAATCTTAGTAAAGTTTCTGTGACTTTACCAGGTCAAAACTGAAATTTCAAGTCAAGCCTTTAGGGAGTCAAGTAAATAAATCGAGTGAAGCCCGAGTTTCTTTTTGATAAAAGTCTGACTTGAATTCACAATTTTGATATTAACTATGACTTTCTGAATTAGTGTCAGTATAATTATTTGACAAACTTGGAATGTAAAGTTAGCTAGAATCTTAATAATCACTTAGTATTATCAGACTATCAGCCGACTTGCACAACTGATGATCCCTCTCTCTTTATTCTGTGTGCGTGTGTCCCAACCTGATTACTGAATACTGTAGAGAGAACCCTGTTGATCTCAGGAGTGTCTCTGCTCAGAAGAGCATCTCTGGTCAGGATGGAAACAGCTCGCAGAATGAACGATGCAAACAGGTTGCTGTGGATGTAGTTTCTGGTACAGTGCAACTTCCTGCAGATATCACACATGCCACAGTTATGTTAAGCATATCAGAAGAATGTTTGAAATATGTGACACACAGTGGGTGACATTTTAACACGCCCTTTCTTTTATTTGATTATGGGGGTCAGTGAAAAATAGTAGATAGTAGATTAAAAATCATTTTCTAAATAAATTTACAACATGTAAACAGTACAACTAAAGACCCCAAAACAGGCAAAATAATTAGAAAATCCCAACGCAGAAAACAGACTGTAGAGGTGTGGGCTCACCTGAAGAAGAGCAGAATAATCAGAGCCAGAGAAAGACTGGCCAGACTAACACAGTAACCCACTGTGTACATGACTCTGAAGTGGGCTAAGATCATCATCTGTTTCTCCTGTGCAAAATGCAACCAAAATGCAAGAGTGAGTTATATTGTAATGTTAAGTTGATTTTGTTTTATGTTTCCCTCCCTTCTCAATAGTGTGTGTGTGTGTGTGTGTGTGTGTGTGTGTGTGTGTGTGTGTGTGTGTACCTGAGCTGCCTGTTTGCTGGTGTCCTCGTTACACTGAGAATGGTCCCTCCAGGTGCGGCTGGAGTTACTGGTGGTCCACTGACCATTAGGACCACACTCCCGCAACACAAAGCCATTACGCACTACACAAACACACAGCAGAGGCAGCAGAGGCTGAAACACACATCCTTGGTCACATACAATAGTGCGCACAAAGTGAGAATATTGTGCGTGTAGGGGCATTCCTACCTTGGTTGTACCAGGGCAGGTACCAGGGGCATGGCACCTTGACTGTAGAGTTTGGTTTTCCATCTGACCAGCAAGCGTACATGTCAAATGTACGACCACAAAACACTCCTGAGGAGAGTAGAGGAGGGGAGAGGAGGGGGCACAGAGTCTGTACACATTCATTATACATTAGAGACAACAAGGGTGTAATCATGTAATCAGAGTTTTTAAAATGTAGTTAAAGTGTTCAAAATTACATTGAATACAATACAGTGAATGTGTATTATACAGAGTGGGTGTGGGTGATTGTTTTCATTTATTAAAAAATAGTATACACACTATATAACAATGGACTATATATAGTGCCTTTCTAATCTTCCCGGCACGCTACATGTCACATTCACCCACACAAACACATTGATACACTGATGGCAGAGGCTGCGATGCACGGTGCCAACAGCTCATCCAAAACTCACACACACTCACACTGCATTGAGAGCAATATGGGGTCCAGTATTTTGCCCAAAGACACAATTTAATATGCCGAGGAAGGAGCCAGGGATCGAACCGCAAACCTTCTGATTAAAGATCGATCCACCTCCCGAACCACAGCCTCTCCCACGTGCATGTTTGTTTGTGTTACCTTTGGGTGTTGGTTCTGTACTCATCCGGAGCAGACATTCATTCCTGTAGCGGTTCCATTCCTCCACCATATCTTTCATTGTCCTCCCCGACACACACTGCACACACACACACACACACACACACACACACACACACACACACAACCAAACAAACTTGAAGTTAATATCAGTCAACACTTTATTTGGATTTATTGGAATTTGCACTTTGATTATTGATGATTTGTCAGTAAAATGTCACTCTCTGACACATACCAGAGTCCTGTAGAGGAGGAAGATGATAAGGAATGTGTCAGAGGCCTTCATCTCTCAGAGGTGTGCCACGGTGGCTGCTGGGAGATCATCTCAGAGCTTTGGAAGACACCAAAGGGTCACTAAGAGATCATCAGGAGGTCATCAGAGACAAAGTAGAGAAAAAGGTTGCATAATCATCATCATCAATCATCAATCATTCATCAGTCCCTCTTCCACTCGTTACCATAACACCAGGGAATACAGATAACAGTTTGAGCTAAGTTAAGATTTTAAAATCAGCCATTTAATATTTAGTTTACATCCCATAAATGTTGTTTGAGAAAGTACATAAGGAATACATAAAACCACAACTGATAATTCAATTACTCGCTCAATACAAACTGCTGGATTGAATTCTGGGCTAGGAAGCCGTAGAAGGCTGTAAATGTAATTATTAAGGAATTAAAACCACAAATTTGTTCACTGCAAAAACAGTCTCACAAGTAATCTTAGCGTCAATTATCAGAGATAATTATATAATGATTTAATGAACTCAACATTACTTAAACTGTCCTCTTATGATTGTTGGATATAAGTGCTTTTTAGTGCTTGTGGTGTGGAAATCAGGAATAAGGCAATCTCTGCCAAAAACTGACCCAATGAGATCATAGCTCATTATTCAACTGTAAATGTGTGTGGAGGATTGTCTATCTGTATCTCAATCTGTAGATGTTTGCTGAGTTTCGTGAATAAGCAACATCACTTGTAACTGTGTTTTACACTTTAAGGTTGCAGTTCATGACATTGCTGTACTGAAAAGACTTCCTCTCTGTGTATCTTGTGAGTCTGATTAGTCTGTGAACTTCCCAGCCCTCAAAGCACATAGAGGAAGGAACATGAAAGACTGCGGAGTAATCCTGTCTCTAATCCTGTCAGTACTGGTGGGTCGCTAATGTAACTGACCAGGAAGTTTGTGGGCTGGCATGTGACAAGTTAAGTCTGCAGTGGCGAGAGGAAGGAGAGGATGGAGCACCAGAGAAGAAGAAAATTAGAAAGGAAAAAGACTTCATTACTCAAAAAAGAGGATTCAGGAGATAAAAGAGTGTGAGATGTAAGATATTAACAGATCAATAATGGATTAATCTTAATCATAGCAAGCCTTAAACAATGAGTCACTGAATCATGTAATGAATTATGTCGTATGTCTTGCTAAGCAAATATTCTCATTCTAGTGTACAAACAGAGACGACACAGGGGATTGGTGATGTCTGACAGACATTAAAGATCATATTTTGACAACTTGGAGCAGTGTTGTGTCTCGTAACTGTACTGAAAACGTCTCACTAACTTTGAACATTGTTATAGCCAGTTTGGAAATGAACTGCAGGTCCTAACTTCTTAAGGGAAAACACACATTATTATTTTGTTATCAGTTGTCATGGATTCAGAGCTTACCTCTCAGCAAGTGTTTTCACATGTTCAAAAATGTTTAAAAAATCTCAATGTAAAGTTAGATTTTTCTAAATATTTTTTAGAAAACGGAAACTGTGTGTGAAGACTTTATACTGCATGCAAATACCTTATTTCTGAAAAGAGATAAAAATACCTTTCTTTTTAAAATAAAAATATTATTTTTGTGAATGTATCATCTAATTATCTGGTGTGGAATGAACTGGAAAGTGCACATTAACAACCAAGCAATTTGTAAGACAGTGTGCAATCACTACACCTCAACGTTTGACATTTGTAGCAATAGGTTGACTGAGACAGGCAGAAAAGAAAAGGGAGAGGGGTGCAGAGCGGTAAATGAGTAGCGAGAAGAGCGGCTGGTCTGCCAGCTGGCAGATAAGAACAGTACAGTGAACCACATTACAGTGTATTCTGCAGTTCTGCCTAGAGCACTATGTACAGTACCAGGAACACAAACTCATATAGAAAGAAGGATTTCATAAAGAAGGCAGATGCAATAAACTACTGTGTCTTGTGTGATTCAAAGCCACAATATTTTATTCAAAGTTCCACATGAATTTCCTTCCCTCTCTTTGTATGAGCGCTTCACTTTTAAAAGTAGTAATGCTTTTATTTGAGTTTCTCCCATGTGTGAGTAGGGGGGTGATTCAGTACTCTATACCGGCATGGACAGCCAAGAATCTAATAATAATACAGAGCATGAGAACTGATTCTGCAAGTCAATAATAGTGTCTAACATGACCCAATAAAACAGTTTTAAGTTATAAAAAGAGAAGCATGTGACAGTATTATTCAGATTCAATATTTCTGCACTGACATGTATATTATTATTATGCAAAAAAGTTCATTATATATGAAGCGCTAACTCATAAAAGAGACATGGTGGGAGAGAGAGAGAGAGAGAGAGAGAGAGAGAGAGAGAGAAGTCCTAAAGTGTCAATTAAGATTATATATTATATTCTATAATCCATGAGGAAGAGCAGAAGCAGCAGATTGGATTTTCTCTGCACTACACCCACGACTGTGTCGCTGACCTGTGTGCAGTTGTTGCAAAATGTTTCTGAAACTCAACTCTGAACATACTGCTGTCTTCATGGAGACTTGTGGCGATAATCAGCCCTTTCCACAGAATGAGCTTCTTCCCATATGTTAATGAGGTCAAAACAATTTCCTTTTAAATGAGACAACGCCTACTACAGCAGCCAACAATGTAAAAATAAGGTGGGGAGGGGATGTGTGTCACAGGAGGAGAAAGGAAATAGTGATTGTTGAAGGACAGCACAATTTTCACTTGTCTGATGATAAACTGATCAAAAATGATTCACTTGACTGACAGAGTGAACAACATGGGTGATATTTTAGAAACCAGTGAACACAGACTAGATATCACAGCCAGACTGTGGTGACAAGGAGACATCCTTTGTGTGGCCTTTTAGTAGAACACATATCCATGCCTTGGTCAAATAGGCTTATCTATAATGTGTCGTATAGACGTATACGTCCAGCAGCAACAACTGTAGTTTGAAATAAAGACAAGCGCAATCGGGGAGCAGCAACAGCCACCACGGTTTAAGAGAAAGGCACCAGCTATAGAAACCAACCAACCAAAAGAAAAGAACATCACAGAGATGCTCCCAGTGTTTGAATGATCTGAAATCAGGGAGAGCCACATCCCCACACCCGCAACGTTGAGAACATTTGCTTTCTACGCCAACGTCTGCATGGAAATACTACAAGTTTTTGAGGCACGACCCCGATCGTGCCTCCAGCTGTTCCTTGTGTTTCCCCAGTGTTTTCCCTGTTCTTCCCCTCTGTCTCCTCTTTCCCTGTTTGTCTGTGTGTATGTGTTGTGGCTGTGGCTTCCTCTCCAGGCACCTGGTTCATCTCTCAACTGTTCACAATCTGCTCATCAGTGATCAGACACTTATTCATTTAGTTTATTTAGCTGTATTTTTGCAGGGTCTCAGAAATGGGTGAATTCTGCTTGAGTGTTATTAATCCATCTTAAAAAATATTTCATAGTGCTGGTAATTCAGTTAAAGGGACATGTATGCACAGAACAGAACAGGTGCACACACACACACACACACACACACACACACACACACACACACACACACACACAAATACACACTTGAAAGTGTTTCAGACATGACAGGAGTCAGTTTAGGCTGCATACACAAATATATAGACATACAGTATACACACACACACACACACACACACACACACACACACACACACACACACACACATTTAGCCCAATTAGTCTGGATGAACTTTATGCCAACATGAAGTTTATGTAACAATAGTTGCAGGATGGTTGTATGTATGTGTGTGTGTGTGTGTGTGTGTGTGTGTGTGTGTGTGTGTGTGTGTGTGTTGTAACCAGCTTTCCCAGACACTTAAGCCATGCCTGTGTTTCACCACACCACAGAGCTGAATGTGATAATTCACAACAGTTGTATAGCTCTGTAATTAGCACCCACTTTACACTGATGCTGTGGCTTTCTTGTTTGTTTTTCACTCTCTCTTTTTGCTTTCTTGTTCTTTTTCTTTAAGTCTACACCCACAGTTTCCCTTGGGTGAAACTACAACAAATACATAAAAATATACAAAATAAAGTCAAATTTAGTGATGGATGGAATAGTAATAAGAGCACATGGTGATGGTAACATACCTTTATTTATTAATTGATTATTAAAATGGTCATTAAGTGTTTTTTTCCCTTTCTAATTCCCCATCCCTCAATTGGAAGTAAGAGGTTCAGGGCTCAGTGTATTACTCAGTCTCAACTGTGAGTCCAACATCACAGTGAAAGAGAAGTTTAAAGGGTATGTTGTTATATCATTATCCTCTAAAAATAAGCCGTGTTGTCAGTAGAGGTTTTGTTTACTTGTTAACATTTGTTTGAGTCTTTGTCTTTTGGTTATTGTCACTTCCATGCAATCTGCCGGGCAATTACCATGCTTACATAACCAGCACCGACCACCATTATCATGCTATAACAAACAATTACAATGAACGATTCCCAATTAATTCCGACAGAAATAAACATACCAAACGCTGCAAAAGTCTGCACAATGATCAGTTAAACAAAACACAATGCAAAGGCCGAGTGATGAGAACGTAACAGGAAAAGAAGAAACGTGGATCTCACCTCTGGAAATGTCATATTTTTCAAGTCTGCAACCAACCCCAGCTGTGCAGGACGGGAAATAGACACGTCCGGGTCTCTCAACTGTTGTACCGAAGGAAATCACATAATGCGATCATTGAACACACACTCTCTCTCTCTCTCTCTCTCTCTCTCTCTGTCTCTCTCCCCCTCTCTCTCCCTTCTCTCTCTCTTTCAATTTAATTGGCTTTATTGGCATGACGTTTTAAATCAAATATGTTGAGCAAAAGCAAATAGTCTGGCATAGAATATAAACATTACTTAAACAATTCAATGACATAAATACTAAAAATACAGTGAAATAAAAGAAAAGGCTCCTTTTTTCTAAAGGATGGTGTTTAGGTTTCCCAAAGCACTTATCCTAAATGAGTGGGCTAAGTACTGCTGAGGCCAAAGATCACATCTAAGCAGCATTTGCCTGAGGTTATGAATAAACCTGGATTTAGACCTGGGATATTTATTGCACGTTAGAAAAGAAAGGAAACAGAGGGCCAGTTGCTTCCCAGAGCTTTGAGAACTCCAACATACATATGGGCAGAAATGAGAGTCATGATAATAACTGATTGTGGCCATTGTGTTTAGAAGGCTTAAGAAATAAACTGTGAGATGAAAAATTAATGACAAGTCATTTTCTGGATTAAAATAATTTGATTACATGTCAGAAAGTGCGTACACATGGTGAATATAGACCATCATGTGGCCTAATTTAGCTAGATGTTCTGAGTCTCAATGCCCTTTTTAAGTCCACATTCAAGAAGTGACCAGAAACCAGCTAAATCCCACAGATTCAGGGTTGATACATTGAGAAGGAGTTACTCTTACAGATTGAATATATTCTGTTTAATGTGCAGTTATTAATTCAATTCAATTCAATTTTATTTGTATAGCGCCGATTCATAACAGAAGTTATCTCAGGACACTTTTCAAATGTAGCAGGTCTAGACAAAACTCTGTATAGCATTATTTACAGAGACCCAACAGTACCACCATGAGCAAGAACTTGGTCGACGGGGGCAAGGAAAAACTGTCTTTTTAAAAGGCAGAAACCTAGGACAGACCCTTCGGCTCGAGGTGGGTGGTCGTCTGCCTTAATTTTGACTTAGACTTTACAATATGTGTCTGATTTGTTACAAACATCAAACCGAACGTATTTCTATTGTTCTGTTGTTTATGACGTTTGTCTGTTTTTTAAATAAATCAGATTATTGTCATGTCAATGCTATCTATCAGCCAATTTGTGAGGAATGAGAACCTGTTGTTGGTGCATTGTTGTGTAAAATCAAGTTACATCTACAGTAGTTGTATGTTGTTACAGACCCCATCACTTCTGTAGCAACATCTTCACACCAGAAAACAGATCAAAAAAACTTTCTCTGAACGACTATCTTTGACAACTTCAGGATAAACATGGGTCAGTCACACCCTGTTCCTGTCAATACACTCCAACCAGAGCTGAAGATGAGATGTTCAAGTGTTTTTATATGAAGTGGACTCTAAGGGTGTGTCCCAGTTCCATAGACCAATGTACAGTGTGGACATAGTGTCTCTTAATTTACATTATCAGTACTCACTGCTATTATTATTACACTTGTGTCTGTCACATACTGTAGCATACATTTACTTCTATCTATATTATCATATATTGTATTACTTATCTACATACTTAGACTCTTATAATATTTCTATTTTATATGTATATACCTATATATACATGTTACATATACATATGTTCTATTCTACATATATTGTGTAAGATATTGTAATATATTTGCACCAATGCACCAAGGCAAATTCATTGTATGTGTAAAAACTTACTTGGCAATAAACCCAATTCTGATTTTGATGTGTTTTCTTCGACTTTCAAATCCCAATCATATTAATTAGACCCTTCCACACCTTTTCCAACATCCAGTTGAGCCCTTTCATTTAACTTTTCTTATTTTTGTCCTGACAGTTGCTTTTATAATGCAATGAGCTCAAGGCATTTATACAAAAGTGCTACTTTTATTGGTTAAATTTTACCAGCAAACAATAACACTTTCATTACCAATAATTAGTATAAAACTTGTGTGCAGGACTTGCCAAATAAGAGATGTGACTGATGTTATATGTTATGTAGGTGATGTTATAATGGCTGCATTTAAGTGCTCCTGCCTGCCCCTTGCATTTCACACGCTTCCTAACAAACACACTTAAATTGAGGGGAGCCATAATTAATGCTTTTGGTTACACATTTTCTTTTCCTACTGTGACATGTCAAAAGTCGGCTGTGAAAAAGGTTTATTGAGACACAGTGCATACAAGCAGCTACCAGTGTGGCTGCCATTCTTCACCTCATTCGTTACAACATTTATCCTACAGCACCTCATATTGTACCGCTCAATCTCTTCATAACCGTTTGTTCCTTCAGTGATAGATTTCATCTGTATGTTCTAACAGTCTAGAGAAAATGTGGGAATATGTGAGAAAGCTATGGAAAGGATGAGTTTATGTGTGTGTTGACTCCTTCCTTAGGGCAGTTTGTAGTGTGTTGTACCAAGAATCCTGTGTTTCTTTTCGGTGACTTTTTTGTCTTATAATGACAGTGATTAATTATTGTCATTAGATATCACTCATACACAAACTGAGGCCATTGATTTTAATTAGAAGGAGGCATAGGATGCTTCCTATCCTAAACAAAATGATGATTGGTGAGCACTTACTCCCTGTAGTGGAAGAAGGGAACGTCACACTAAGTCCCTATGCAAACAAATAAATGTGACAAATACTTCATCACCTCGAAATCAACACACAGTCCCATCCCATCTTCTTCAAATCACTCTTTCTTCCCTGATATTGGCCACCAGACAATAGAGAAATATGATGTGAAAATGACTGTGCATCAAGGTTATTAATTATATCCTTATCCTTATTATATTAATTCCTGTGAGTTATGTTTCCCTGCCTCTGGAGGTCATATATATATATATATATATATATATATATATATATATATATATATATATATATATATATATGTTTTTATGTTTATTTGAAAACATAATATAGTTATTTTAAATAAAATAGCTTTCAATTGGTATTTTAAATGATTCTCCCTTTAACTTAGATATATTCAGAAATCAAACTTATGATAACTTACAGCTTTAAAGCAAAATGTTTAGAATATAAAACATACATATACTCACATTTTAAATCAAGCAATAATGTAAAAATAGGGAATATATGCTCCTACAGTAACTTAAAAGTAATGAATGAGGCAGTGAGGCAAAACATGTGAGTGAATTTGAGTAAAAACAGCTCCAATTGGTTTCGTTAGTGATGCATGACAGAGATACAAAGGTGTGCCTCATGAAAAGAGATTATAGGTGGGTATAGAAACTGAACCTGAAACAACAGGGAGGTGCTCCTATGTTTAAACATTTGAGTTGTTGCTACAGCTACACAGGTATATTGAACAATTCTTATCTCTGCAAATCACATGTGCTGATCACAGAACCGATGAAGTCCCTGAGCTACAGTTTATATGAATTTCAGTTTATATGAGTGCTTTGAATAATTTCTCATATTTCTGTTTGACATCCTCTCTTCTCCAGACACACACACACACTGACACCATCATGTCATTAAACTTTGTATCGACAGATGAAAGTGATGAAAGAAAATGACAAAAGAAGATGATGGGATTTTAATGCTCCTTCATCAGTCGTGTGTTTATCTTTTTTACATCCTTGCACTCTAGGGGGGTTGGATTGTATGGGATGCCAAAGCAATGAAGACTAAATATAGCCCTATTATGGTGAAAGAAATCCCGTTATTAAAAGGTATGAATATCATGTCCTGAAGTTACTTTTTGTCCATAGCTTATCAAATAATTATGATGTTCTTTGAATAAGTAGCTTATTAATTAATTAATAAAACCATGAAAATGTACCAGGTCAGGTCTCTTCTTGTTAGAGGCCCACTGTGTAACATTTTAGGAAGATCTATTGGTAGAAATGTAATATAATATTCATAGGTATGTCATGGAGCAGGTCTTCTTGTACGGAGTCCGCAGACAAACCAAACACTGGCTCTTGTCAGGGAGTTTTTCCTGACTATTCTTTCATATTAGGACATTTTGGCTTGTTTGATGGGACTTTTAACTTGGCAATGTGCTTGTTAAAAAGACACTGATGTATTGTCACCACACCAAGATGCACAACAACACATGTGATGTCCTATATTAAAACTCTTCAAACAACATCAGGTCACTTTATATGTGTCACATTATTTTATATCTTCGTCATCAAACCAAATCTATAGCCAGCAAAACAATGATCCTTTTTAAAACTTATTTCAGTTCACTCAGAAGCAGGAGAGGCAGATTTATTCTCTTCCATTTCCAGGTAAAATAATTTGCAATGAATCGTTCTTGGCACAAATGTGCTGCTCTTAATGAAAAAATGGCTGGTGAAATATTATCTCAGTATGCGTTTATATCACTACAGAGGCCACTTTTCTCCAAATGAACAGGAAGTACAACCACAGTCATTAGAACATGTTTGTTAACATAATTATAAAAGTTATCACTTTACTCTGATTATTGTTTGGGGGTTTATAATGATTTGATTGGATTTTTCCAAAGTCACAGTTACACAGATCTAATTGTGATCTACAGTAATCATGCTGGTATTCTCCCTAAAGTCTATCTATAAGTAAAAGCTGTAAGATTTGTAAAATACTTCATTGTGTAATGTCCATAGTGTGCAGTAGATTACAGTTAAATCCCACATTGAAATGTAAGTACATTTTCATGTTTTGAGTCATAGTGCATGGAATGAAAGTACAAGACATTAAAAAAGACTTATTGTTCTATTGTGTGTTTTTGCCATAAACCTGGAAAACACACACGACCAACACACACACACACACACACACACACACACACACACACACACACACACACACACACACACACACACACATTTCATGCTCAATTTTAATTGCTTAACTAATGGCATTATGTATTTTAGTTTAGCGGGTTCCATAATGCTGAGCATAAACTCTTTAAAAGCCATATCAACA